CTGCCTTTCTTTTAAGACTTCATCTCCATATACGGCACATAACTTCTTTTGTGCTTGCGATGTGTTCTTGCCTTTTCGGAAGTAATACAATAAAATGTGTCGGAAGTGCACGTCCTGTTCTTTCATTTTTAAATTGGGATAAAACAAAACTAAAGAACTAAACAAAAAAAATTTTTACTAATTAACCTAGAAGCCCATACAGTAAGAAAAAAATATAGGTTAGATACTCTGGCCACGTTAACAAAACAAAAGAAAGTATAGAGTGAATCTGTCAACAAAAACGGCAATGACTTAGTTGCCAACCCAATATTTATATTAGGAAAAACTCGAAAATTTTGCGATGAAAGTCCTCGTTGGTCATTGTATCTGATGACAACAGTTTTTTTTCGTTAGTAAAACAGAATCTTCGTCTTTCCTGTTTCCCTGTTGGATTCTCTCAGGAGGAAAAGGCTTTGTATTTCTTACAAACAGGCCAGTCTGATCAAACCAAAAATGACTTGTTGAATCAGTTTCGTGAAACTTGGATTCATAAAATGAAAAAATAAATTAAATATTCTTCACTTGCTTTCAACTATTTACTTGCCTGATCGCACAAATTGAGACGCTCATTCAATTATGTAAAGAATTATTTCATCCTTCCTACTGAATTCTCAAATATGACTTATCTCAGGATTTCAAGTCTAAACTTCAATAAAAAACGCGAATTCTTGTTTAACTCTTATTTCAAAATTCATAGAATTGCTAATTTAAGTCCCAGACGCAATAAATTAGGCACACACACACACACACATACGCACGCATACACACACTTCAAACCTTTTGGAATGGTTTCAACACTTAATGTGCATGAGTGGTAGACACATTTGACGGGAGGAGCAAATGTGCTTAACGTGTAAGCACCTCCCACTGAAAGTGCTCTCTCATTTCTGCTGAATAGCAAATTCCCTGTGCAATCTGATCACAATGTTTGAACCATTACGAAAGGACGCTTTTTTCGCATTAGCCGCTCTGAAATTCGAGCGTCAAGGTAGCGTCATTAGCTTGATCTTCAACTAATAATTAGGAAAATGTGCAAAGTTGGATAAAATATTCTCAAAGAGCACGACATTCTTCTGGTCATGGCATTTGAAGACTTGTAATGATTTAAACACACCTTCCAAATAATAACCCACTCCCTAGCAGAAAGACGAGAGGCCGTATCATGCAGTAGTCATTAGAACTACTACAACATGGCAAGTCATAATAAAATGTTTCGTGCTTTTGCATTGTTTCTTCTTTCGTTCTAATTGAAATCGGCCCATGATAAAAAGGATCTTTGTTAGGAGATCTTCTCAAATAAGTCCTTTACATATTTTGCAGGACCTCGGAATTGAATCAAATTATAAGAATATTTTGAGTTACGGGCAAACACATAAGTGTAACTATGAGTTGTGCCACGTGTGTTGAGCATAAATGTGTTTGCCATTACACTTATTAAGGAATCCTATTAACTCATATATAGCAAAGTGTTAAAAAGGATCAGTTGAAGGTAAGGAAGTGCACTCATTCGCTTTGACTATTTACTATCATTTCTTCAGTGGACTTTAATTAAAGAATAGTGGCTTATATCTATGCAAGCACTCTTTTAATTGACAATATTTCCTATATCTTTTTTATTCTAAGGGCGAAGATGTGAGAGAATGCTGAAATGTATTGTAGTATTTTAAAACCAAGAATTGAGTGAAATATTTTAAGTGTCAGGATATGTAGGATTGAACGGTGAAATGTTAGAAGCCTACTCGAATTTTTAGTAATAATTCAATATTGTCATATAGTAATTATATGAATGAACCATTAATATTTATGTTATAGTACGTGTCTGTTAATGCAAGCGTTAAGATAAAGTTTAGACTCTTAAAAATACGCTCTATAACTAAAAGAATTATGCTTAATGGTATGCTACTTAAAAGAAAGTAGTAGCTGATCTTAATTTCTTTCAAAGTTTGTAGGGTCATTTGAGTTAATCCGAACGTTGGCATAAGTACTCCATGAATTCTATACTTAGAATTTATCACTATCTATTATATTAAATTGCAAATCAAATACATTTGAGCGTAGTAGTTCATAATATATTGCGGTGATCTTCTTCCCAATTCTTTGGTGTCAAATCATCAAAACTTGTCTTGCATCGCTAATTATCAGAGTTTTCCCATTGGCTGGAAGAAAGGTTGTGGATTCAACTACAGTGGACGAAAAAGTAATATCTAGCACGTCTGTACAGGTAATTCTTCCTGAAGTGAACTTAAGTGGCCTTGCGATATTGCCTCAGCAATAGTGACCCACAATCACTGCCTATGATAGAGATAAAAATTAACCTTGGGGTTTAGTATTATTGCTAAACCACAAATGAAATTACAACGTGTTCTTGCGTTTGCAGCTTCCGGAATTAGATTTGTTTATTTACTTTTGACTTGCGTTTTCGAAACTGCCTAATTCTTTGCTATTTCTTACCTTTCTATCTGTATTTATTTAATTAATAAAGTGCTTTATTTGACCCCAGGATAATTATTTCAACAATAATTACCTTTTGAGGCCTAACGATATTTGAAGTTAGGCGGGTGAAATGACAATGGCTTTCTATTTTCCACGAACTCGAAAGAACAGTTTAATAACAACTAATACCCATCAAAATAGAGTGATCAACAGACTCTACCCATATATATTTTAATTAGTTTCAAAGGTTTCCTTACACGTTCAAGTAAATTCAATGAAACCGTTCGAAAGAAAGTACCAGAATTAATAAACTATGTTCCTTCACTCAATGTCGAGGACTAAAGTGTTATATAAGATCGTTCCAAAGGTATATATGCAATAAATAAATAAATTTATTTATTTCAAATGGCAGGGGTTTTGATGGTTATCATTAGCCCTTTAGTTGGCTTCAGGCTTCACACAAGGGAAGAACATCAAAGTGAGAAAAAATCGAGAGGGGGATAGAAGAGTGAATTACAGATGTAAAAGTGACAGACCGACACAAAAGCAGAGAAAAAAGGTGAGGTGAGTACTGTGGTAGTGGTCGAATATGGCATACAGTAGGGTCATAGTAGCTTGAAGTGAGAAGTCAACTGCCAGTTAATAGACTTTTTTGTCACATGAGTATACGTTGCCCAGGGTGCACCACGTGGAGGTATGTCATTTGAATATACGATGCCCAGGGTGCACCACGTGGAAGTAATTCTATCGCACGCCCTGCATTAAATAAATGGATTTCATCAAAACATTATTATTTAACCTTATATAAGCATTTGATTGACCTGCGAATATTGTCTGTTAGTGTTGTTAACTCATTTATTTGTTTTTTTAAAGTAACTCACTTTCTCATCTTCTAGTAAGGATGTTTTTGCGGTCTGTCTGAATGAATTTCACATATTTTAACAATTAGTAAATTCATTTTACTTTAAAACTATTCCAATCCATGCGTAAAACCCAAAATGGCAGGCATGTCATTACAGGAAATGTGGTTGGTTTTTTGTTGTACCAATGTTGCCTATATGTTTTTAAAATTCACACTGTACCAAGAAAATCAGTCCATTTCAGTACAGGCAATGAGTGTCATCATCATCATCGTTACACCCTGATTGTTTTTTTTACAATTATAGCTGTAAGTTCTGTAAGTGCTTTCTGATTCAGGAGGGCTGTTATGTGCAAGAAACCAAAATCATTGCAACCTCCGCACTGAGCACCATATTTTAAAGCTATAACGATCTCACAGAGGGATTAATTTTGCCCCCACCCCCAATCTAATAATTTTATACGAATCTTAAAAAACAAAGGAAATAGAATTGATTGGTTTTTTTCTTGAAATCATCTAATATGTAATACATATTAGATGATTGCTTTTGGTCATAATGATAGATTGCAACATTATTACTGAGTGGTCTTAAGTATATACCTCAATCAGGATGCATCGTAAGAATCGTTGACATGTTGTTGGCTCTAATATTTAAAAGATCAACCGATGTGAATTTTTCATAGTATGATCTTCCCACTTCGGTACTATTGAGTGCAATTTGGTTATGCGAATGTGATTTCGGAGCGAATGAGAAAAAGAGATGAGTGGATATGTGAATAAATCAAAGTTTTTGGGAATTCGAAAAGTCATACCTTACGTTGTTAGATAATATGCTCTTTTTACAAATCTATCCAATATATGAAGTTCTTTATAAAAGAAAATTTGCAATTTTGCATAGATATATACGTATTTATTTTAATGAGGAAAGAAATGATCTTATCTGAACACTTATAAAATTAAAATCCTATTATGAACAACAAGTTTGTTTGAGCTTATTTCAAATAGTTTTTACAAAAAATTAAGGCGGGTGCATTTGATAAAGCTTTATTAATTTTATTTGGTAATTTAATTTGAGTTTGATGTCCTGTCTTTAAAATTAAATAATAATAAAACTAATAATAATAATAATAAGAGTTCATAGTTAATGGTATTCCAATTTTTCATTTAAACATTTTTGAAGCCATAAAGAATTTGATATTTAGTAAAAAGTCAGATTGGATGTAAAAGTAGTTTATGTTGCATAAAATGAGCTGATTGCGAATTAACCCCACACCAATACTTCAGACTCCTGTCTTTAGCGATGCATATTAACATGAAAAAAGAACTTGACAATGAGAAGGTTTGGTCTCTTTGAAACGAGGGGACTGCGGTGAAAAAAGAGGTGGATTAACTTTGAAATGACGTCAATGATAACTTTTTAGGATTCTCCGGCAATCCTCTTGAGCCTAATTTTAAAACAGATCAATTGTCAACGTCATCATAGCTTTAAAGATCATACCTCAAGAGCTTCGTCGTCCTTTCCAGGTTCGGAAAGAGCCTTTTCTGCCCATTTCTTTGCGGCTTCTTTGTCTTTCAACCTATCATAACATTGTGCGATTCGAGCAATTGTGTAGATCAACTTAGGATTTACTATATTTGAGAAGTTTTATATCCATTTATAAGAAACCAGCTTACCTCTGTAAGATTCTAAATAATATCTCAGTGCCTCATCGAAAGAGGAATCTGGTGGTTTTTTAAAGAAAACACCGGCGAGTTCTCGCTCAAATCTATTAAGATTTGCAAATTCAAAGCACCACGCTCCGAGACAATGTAGAAGGACGAAATATTGTGAGTCAATCTCGTAGGCTTTCTAGTGTAAAATATTAAATAAATGGAACTATTTTACATCGAAATACTCCCTGATGTCATACGCAAGTTCAATTCTCCTTTTCTTTCCTTGTTCCAAAGATTCCAATGATAACAAAATGCCGTACCACTAAACATCGACTTTAGTTTAAAAGTCTTCATACAGTATTGCAGTAACAGTCATCTGGATATTTCTCCACGGCCATTTTCATAACACTGAGGCCTTCTTCCAACCACTTCTTCCTTGAGGGTCTATCTGTCTTGCCCTTTGTAAAAACTGGTAAATAATAGGGTATTCAATAAGCTTACTCAGGTAACGAATCGCTTTGGCAAATCTCCAGAGAAGTTCAGCAGGTACATCATCGTAATTACCATCGGGCCTCCTGAGCATGTCGTAGACTTCTTGATATCTTTCTGCATCGTTAAGTTCGTCAATTTCGCTTACTCGTATACTCATACTCGTATTACAATTAAGACGTCTATTGAGAGTCACGTGTAAATGCAATAACAAAATTATGAAAGTGGTCGACTTACTTTAAATCTGAGAAATGATAAAAACCAATCAAAAGAAACAAAAACTTTAGATTGACCTGAATCTACTGGTAAGTTCAAGGTCACTAAAATGAGCCCCATCAATTAAATTAAAGGCAAAGAAGATAGAAATGTAAACTTTAAGTTGAATATGAATGCCAGTGATTAAAGTCCTTAATTATAATGACTTTTAAATGCCTTGGTTTGATATGGCCATGCTTAAATGACATACGTAGTTGCAACGGTATTGTACTGAAGTTATATCATCATTAACTCTGTAATACATTTATGTCCTACTTATATGCTGCACGATAAACAGTTTAAAAGCTAACATTAACCCCCCCCCCTCCCTCCTCAAAAAAAGCAATGAATTAGTATTAGACAACAATAGAAGAATTCAGGTAGGACATAAAAGTGATTGTATTGTTCAAAATGTGCCGATTAGGGATTCCCATTATACCAAAACTCCAAGCCCGTGTCTTTAGAAAGCATATTAAATGTGAGGAGAGTGTTTGGACAAGAAAGGTTTGGATTGTATTAAAACAAGGTGGTTGCGTCACCAATCGATTACAAAATAACATCTACGCTACTTCTTCAGAATTTTCCTGCATTTCTCTTGAGCCTAATTAAAATAAATTTGGTAATAAATAATTTTGGTTGTAAAAAAATCCTACCACAAGTGCTTCCTCATCTTTCCCAGGTCGAGAAAGAGCTTTCTCTGCCCACTTTTTGGCTGCTTCCTTGTTTTTTAATTTATCATAGCATTGAGCAATTCGTGCAGAGGTAAATAACAAATTAGGATTCACTAACTCTAAGCCACTGTTTAAAATCTAAATTACCTTGGTAGGATTCTAAATAATATCTTAGCGCTTCATCGTAAGAGGATTCAGGAGGTCTAGAGAAGAACATGGCAGACATTTCTCGTTCAATTTTACTATAATGTGCTACTTCAAAACACCAAGTTCCGAGACAATGCAGGAGAACGAAGTTTTTTGAGTCTTCTTCGTATGCTTTCTAATATCATAAGGACAATAAAGTAATGCAATTTACATCGAAATATTCCCTGATGACATAAGCAAGTTCAATTCTTCTTTTTGGTCCTAGTTTCAAGGATTCCAAGGATAAAAGGATGCCATACCACTAGAATATACGATTAAATTAAACCCCATCCATACCGTATTGCATTGGCTGTCATTAGGGTATTTCTCTACTGCCATTTTCATTAAACTGAGTCCTTCATCCAGCCACTGCTTCCTCAATTGCTTATCGTCTTTGCCCTTTGTAAAAACTGGAAATAATTAGATTTAATTTTAAACCAACCTAAATAACGAATTGCTCTTCCAAGTCGCCAGATAAGTTCTGGGGGCAGTGAACTATAATCTCCATCCTCTTTCCTGAGCTGGTCGTATATTTCCTGGTGTTTATCTAACTGATATAATTCATCGAGTTTTTTTAAGTAGCTCTCGCTCATAGCACTTCTGTTTAACAGAATGCGATTTGAAGAAATGATATACGAAAGTCAGATGAAGCTAAACTCACCATATGGTTACTAAATTTCAAAAGTGCATCCATAAGTACAAAAACTACAATTGACCTGAATCAGTTAGCATGCTCATGTTCATTTCGCGGTATTTTAATCCTCTGTTAATGGAAAAATACACTAGAAGTAAAAATTAAGTTTGGCATTACTAATTAAGAGCAATGGTATTCGATTTTATTCCAGTAATATTCTTATTTTTTGTTTGCGTTCGTCCACCGAACTCCTTCGTGGTCATTGTTGATGCCTATAATAATGTTTTTATTAATAAATAATAAATGAATGGAATTAAATTATTAAACGCCGGATGTTCTTAATATTCGATGTCTGCATGGCATTGGTTAGGCGAAATTGAAAATTTTAATTGATGTAAAGCTTTATTTAAAATCATTTTTATTAACGAACGGTAAAGTCTTAAGGTTCCAAACATCGAATTTGAGCTTAAGCAAGCCAATGTGAGAGTCTTAATTTGTTTTATTTTTAAAATGAATTAAAGGTATATCATGTCCACACGTCATCACTAAATACAAAGCCATTTATCGATTTTCCTAAAATTGAAGGCAATACGATTTATATTTCCCTCTGAATCACTGATTCCCACCTAAATGTTATATGAAAATTTGCGTGAGTTTAAACAAATTTCCAGTTAGAGCACTCAAAATCCAATTGCTTTCGTTCAATTAATTTTATACGAAATTATGATATTCATGCGTTTTCATGTTACTTTAAGTACATTTTGGAACATGAGAACTTGATGGCGTCACTCTGGTGTGATAGTTCTCTACTAACATCGCTTGTTTGAATACATAGGTCTAGGGGAGGCAACTCTAGACTCTTAACGAGTTAAGCACTTAAGTTAATAAATAATAGCTCGCAATTAAATACCGAAAATCATTCAAAACCAAATTGGTTTAGTAAAATAACGATTTCGTTCGATAGTTTCGAGAATTAAATATTAAATTGTTAGTATTGCTAAATCTAAATTTGTCAAACATATTCCAATGTATCAATAATACCGCGGGAAAACATTTCTATTCCTTAGACGTTTAGCAAAATACAGGATTTAACTTTTAAACTCTAAAAGTTGTCTCCTTGGAAGTTTAACGTCTTTCTTAATCGGGTATATAAATATTAAGGGCTTTAAGGATTTAATTTCAGTAAAGAGACCTGGCGTGCTTTAATTTTATATTTATTAAAAAATTCATTAACTTCACTGGAATAAATATGCATCCCATTACACCCTCCCCACCCCCAAAAAAAGTTATTAAAACTACCACCTGGAAACAATGACAAGGGGAGATGATAAATATTCAAGAGTTTATGAGAAACAGAACTGAAATTTATGGAAATAAGTAAGGAATAAAGATTTAAAAGTATTCTTTAATTTCATTTAGCATCCAGATATTTATTTCAATGAGAAATATAATTTGGGGTAACATAGGCTTTCTAAATAATTCAAAAATGATTTACCATGATAAATCTTGATTCCTATTTTAGCCTTATAATTTGTATCTTTACTAAAGATTTGGAGTGAATAACTGATTTTATATCAATAAAATGTCTCTTTCCCCAACAGATAATCATTACTATTTGTTTTAATATTTAAAATGGACGTAATTGGTCAAGGAGTCCTTTTAAAGCAACCGGATTTACATTTTTCTGGATGTTTTTACTAGAAATACGTAAGTATATTATTTTTATATTAGTTTCTCATTATTTTTATTTCTATCTTTTTAAGAAGCCAAATCATTCACATATCCTCAGCCATGTCTGACAACGCAAGGCTTATTGATGAATGTGAAAATCTATTAGAAAAAAATGAACTTCGGGAAGTTTATGATAAATTAAATGTCATAAAAGATATGGACGTGGAATTGATGAGTATTTTTGCGAGAACTGTTCGATTTATGGGTATGAATCTATAAAAAAGAATAATATATTTATATAGTCAACTCTAATTGCGCAAAAAACAAAAAAGAAAAGGAGCTTTGGATTGAACGTGGTGTTGAAGTGCTGAAAGAAGGTGTTGAAAAGTATCCAAACGATTGCTTAAGCAACACTGTTAGTTATTTGTTTATTTATTTATTTTGCATAGTGGTACGGAATTATGTTGAATGTAAAGTCCAAAGAAGCAGGTGTTAATGAAAGAATTAAGTTGGGATATGAAATCCGTGATTACTTCGAGGTAAGCTCATCAATTTATTATTCATCTTATGAATCTATTGCAGAAAGGTCTTAAAGCTAATCCTCAATCCTACATAGCAAATCACTGCATGGGTTCCTGGTGCTATGAAGTTTCTTCATTGAGTAAAATTGCCCGGGCCTTCGCTTCAACCTTTTTCAGCAGTCCTCCATCTTCCAGTTTTGAGGAGGCTTTGGAATACTTCAAAGCTGCCCAAAGCGGTAATCTTTTTGAAATTTGTTTAATGAGGTTATCCTTTAGCCGATTCTAGCAACATGCTTAATATGTGCCGTCTTGCTCAGTGTTATGATAAACTGGGCAAAATTTCAGAAGCTAAAGAATGGGCTCTCAAGGCCATCTCACTCCCAGCAAGGGATTTTGAAATGGAAGAAGCTCTTAATGAATGCAAACATATTGCAGCTAAAAAAGGTTGACACTGCTATTGAATTCGGAATGGAATAAATTTAATTTGTTCTTTTGTTTGAATTTCTAGTCCATATTTTGACTTTTAGTTCTTGAACTTCCAAATTCTTCTAGAAATCGATTATTGATTCCTTTACACTTCTTTAGAATAAAGTCGTGGATTCATAGTGGGGGGGGGTGCATTTCCACGTATCGGATCTGAAGTTTTTTGGCCACAGTGCTTAAAGTTTCGTTTGAGCAATGTAGCATAATCAGTTTGAATATTTAATTGAAAGCGTCAAGATAAATTGGATTCTGAAGTAGTTTGTCAATACTTCGAAACTTCGACTGAATCAATGATTTAGCTCATTGTTTGCATGAGTAACTTACATTCGCTATAAATGTATATAATATTTGACTTTGTTTTCTTACACAAAAATTATTTAAAACGATAAAAATACAAGCTATAAGCAAAAGGTCAAATTAGCTTTCAATAATTTTAAACAGGGTTATTAGCTTCGAATCTATAGAATTATGGGGAAATGTCAATTTCAAAGTTGAATTCTCACAACCCACTGCGTTATAAAAACATGTGAAATAGCCCTAATTCCCTTGGGAATTAATCAAATTCAGAATATTTTTGGAGCGTCCGTTCAGTAATCTCAGGTATTCTTTTGAGTTTGGTAACATCCTTCACCGTATTATTATAAAAATGTTTTATTCTTTAATTTTCTTATGTAAATTCGTCTGGGTATGGTTACTTGCTTTAAAAAATGTATTTTGAAAATATTCTAATAAGTTTCATTCTTAACTCCTCTTCAAATTAACTAGAGAAGCGTTCGCTGACTTTTTTTCATCGTTTTGCTCTTCCACCATATAAATCCAATTTTCTGCATTTCACTACAAATAATATCATTTGCTATCACCTACCAATTATCGTTATTTTAAATATTGCGTATAATTTCTTCCGTAATATGGGCTTTTCTTAAAATGTAGCCTGCTTTCTTACTCTACCTTGCAATGTATATATATCGTACCTACATAAATTTTTAGCAATAAGTCGATTTTATGGGAGACGTCTATAAATCAGCTGATTTCACTTCAACGTAAGGGATCCCAAATGCATTTGGGGGGGGGGGGGGGGGGGGGGGGGGGGGAGAGGGGGGAGGGGTGATCAACAAGTATTTTATATAATGAAATCTTACCTTATCTTTGAAATAGTAAAAACGTTTCACAATTATCAATGCAAAACTAATTTAAAAATATTAACAAACAATTAGAGGGGAGTGGATTCAAAGAAGTCTACGAAAAAAGTACATGGTGTGGATAATTTGGACTTGAAACTTTCGATTTGCAGGTTAAAGAATATATGTTAAAATTTTCTTATTAGTTTTGGCCTTGGCCAGAGGTGCAAAATGAAACGGAAGAACTGATCCATTACAAAGTGGTGGAAGGGCTGTTGAGAAGTACCCTAAAGAACATTTGAATGTTTGTTAATTTGCATCTAACTTATTTTCTTCCAGTGGTTATGAAGTTGGCTTATTGTCAAATCTTGGGAAGATAGCGTAAATGAGAACATCACGTTGAGACATGAAATTCAATTTAATTTAAAGAAAGTACTCTCTGCTTAACTTTCAGCAAATATTTTGGAAGGCTTTGAGGCTGATCCAAGATCCTACATAGCGAAACATTGTATGGGCTCCTGACACCTAGAATTTGCCTGACAATGTAAAATTAAGAACTCTTCGCAGCAACCTTCTTTGAATAGTCCTCCCCAGCCCTTCTTCTACTTTGTCAGAAGCTTTGAAATGTTCCCTGATTGCCCAAATGTTTAGAATCATTCAATTTCTTATTAACACTTTATTCTGATTGGCCCGGGATGTGCGATAGACTTACCTCCACGTGGTGCACCCTGGACAACGTATACTCATACGGCTAAAAAGTCTATTAACCGGCAGTTGACTTCTCACTTCAAACTACCATCACCCCATTGTATGTCATATTCCACCACTTCCACAGTACTCACCTTACCCTACTCTCGACCTTTGTGTCTGTCTCATTTACATCTCTTAAACACTCTTCTGTCCCCCCCCATCTCGACTTTTTTCTCTTTGATATTCCTACCCCTCTATGAAGCCTAAAGTCAACTAAAGGGCTAATGATAACGATCAAAACGCCTGCCATTTGTTATAAATAATAAATAAATAAATAATTCTGATTGGCCCCAAACGAACCACTAAATACTTTCCAAATTGACGCCTTTAGTGGAATTATTGAACCAAACGCTCTAAAATTCAACCTTATTGATATTGACGAGTGTTGACAACGTTGGATAGTCTAAATTAGGCAAAAAATAAATTTGTCTTCTCTAGTTTTATGTGCTTCCATTGCAGTACCCTTCTTTTTAAATTTGCCTTCAAAGTTTATTTATTTATATCAAATGGCAGGCGATTTGATGGTTA